AAATACAACAATGCAACCCATTCAATATTATTGTACTGTGAGATATGATATCAGATATGATAGTTATCTATTTAAGAAAGAGGGGGGGGGGGGGGGGGGGGGGGGGGGGCAGGAGGGGGAAGAGAATAAAGATATGATGCACCAATGCAGACCAGTTCATTGCTATTAAGAAGTTGGATATGGTTATTGTCCGTGAGAGGGGGGCAGAGAGTTCAGGAGCCACATTGATGAATGTGTATGCCCCCCCTGAAAGTAATAAGGAATTCTTTAAATTGATTTTTGATATTCTTGTGCTTGAAGCAGAAGGTATATGCATATGTGGAGATTTTAATGTGATACTAGATAGTGACTTGGACACAACCAGCCTGAAGAAAAATAAAAATTCAATTCCAAAATTAGTAAGACATACATTGGAAGACACTAACTATTTTGATGTCTGGAGAGCTTTGCATCCGCTACAGAGGAATTATAGTCATTATTCAGCAACACATTGTGTATATTCAAGAATAGACTACTTCTTTATGCAAAAAGGGAATAGAGATATAATAACAGACTGTTGGATTGGAGTGGCAGATGTGTCGGACCATAGTGCTATCTACTTAAAAATCTATCTTAAAGGTAGACCAAGAAACACAATATGGAGATTAAATGTGGGGCTATTAAACAATAAATCTGTGGTAGAACAAATACAAAAAGATGTCAAAACTTATTTAGAAGAAAATGACAATGGTGAAACCGATCCAATTATTTTATGGGACTGTTTGAAGGCAGTTATACGTGGGAAACTAATCGCAATATCAAGTAACCTTAAAAGAGAAAGAATGAAGCAATATAATGAATATGTGGATGAATTGTCACAATTGGAGAATAAACACAAACGCAAGGTGGATGTCAAGATACAACAACAAATGAAAGATATTAAGAAGAAAATTAATAATTTACTCTTATATGACATGGAAATAAAAGCAAGATATGTAAAACAGAGCTACTATGAATCAGGCCCTAAAGCTGCACGACTATTGGCAAGACGTCTAAAAAAACAACAGGCAGAAACAACAGTCAACAGATTGTATAATTCTAAGACAGAACAAATGGCACATAACCTAGAAGAGATAGAAAGTATCTTTACCGATTATTATAAGGACCTGTATCTACAAAATGCACCTACTAATAATGGCCTAAATGATATCAAAACATTTTTAGACTCCTTAGATTTACCCTCTATTGGAACAATACAAAATGATCGCATGACGGCACCAATAATGATAGAGGAGATTCAGAAAGCGATTGGAAAATTACGAACAAACAAGGCACCAGGCAGTGATGGGTTTCCTGCCGAATGGTACAAGAAATGTGGAAAAGAATTGATACCCTTACTCCACCAGACTCTTAATTGGACTCACACTAAACATGTGATTCCCCCTCTTGGAGGGAGGTGTCATGATTCGAGTTTTGAGGAGAAGACAAACGACTGCATGGTCTCAGTAGATGCCAGAATAGTGATCTTTATTACACACTTCTAAGACAGAAGCATGGGAAGACAAGCGTACAGCCACAGATCTCCGCCGGGCGGCGGCTCTCCATATCTTTTATATTATTCATGATGACGTCACACAGACCTTACTGGAAATGATATCAAGTCCCCACAATCCCAAAAGTTCTCCTTATATAGACATCAGATGGTACTTTTAGAGAAAAACAAGTGTGTGATCTGTTGTGCATTTTGTGAAACTGTCAGTCCAACTAGAGGAGATGTCCTGAGACGACCTCCCTTTGTTAATAAGTGTGTATGTGAGGGAACGTGCGTGTCTTTCATAAGTCTGTATATATGTGCACGTTAGTGAGGCCTGACTACGTGCAAACTGAATGTAACAGTCCAGCTCGAGTGGAGTGGTGATGGTGCAACAGTTTAAGCAGAGAGAAAGTAAGCTGGTGGAGAATTACCTTGTAGCCGATTTACTAAGAAACTAAGAAACTGATAAACTGATGCAGACTAATGAAGTAATAATGAACCTACAACAGTGCATGTAAATGATATCAGTGAGATTAAAATAACATCCATTATCCTAACAACTCCTTTGAAACAATGTAAGACATTCCACATAATACAGGTCAATCCAACAGATCTAATGATTTTCACACTCTTCTAAGTCAGAGGTCTAATGCAAACTAAAACTACATACCATATTATAATGCAACTACTTTGATCTCATATATAAGGTAACATATGATAACAAAATAATCTCACAGAGGCAATTATCACGGTGCTGCCAAAACCACAAAAACAAAGAGAATACTGCCAAAATTACAGGCCTATATCGGTGTTGAATGTTGATTATAAAATCTATCCTACAATCCTATCAAATAGGCGTCAGTCGTTTATACCAGACCTGATAGATGAGGACCAAGCAGGTTTTGTCAAAAATAGACAGGCACAAGACAATATTAGAAGGACCCTACACATCATACACCAAATACATAAAGACAAGATACCGGCTGCGTTGATAAGTTTAGACGCAGAAAAAGCCTTCGATCGAGTCAGCTGGGACTTCCTGTACCTAACCATGGCAAAGTTCGGGTTCACTACGAAATCAATCCAATGTATCAAATCTCTCTATGACAAACCGACTGCAAGACTAAAAGTTAACGGCTCATTGACAAAGACATTCCAAGTAGAGAGAGGAACTAGACAGGGTTGCTGTTTAAGTCCAACCTTATTCGCCTTGTATATTGAGCCATTGGCACAAATGATTAGACAAGACGCCCTAATAACAGGAATAGAAATAAATAGACAAGAGCATGTAATTAGTCTGTTTGCTGATGACGTGTTGATAGCCCTCAAAAACCCCACAAACTCTTTTATGCAGCTTACAGAAATGTTAGGAAAATTTGGTACGCTTTCTGGCTACAAAGTAAATATACTTAAAACTCAAGTTCTAATGTTTAATTGTATACCAACTCAAAATCTTAAGGAATGGGAAATAAAGTGGGAGGCAAAAACCCTTAAATATTTAGGTATAAATATAACCAAAGACTATGACAAACTATATCAAAGTAACTATGGACATATAAATAACAGGATAAGGCAGGATATGGAAAGATGGAATACGTATCCGTCAGGATTTAGTGACAGGATAAATGTGATAAAGATGAATATCTTACCACGATTGCTGTATTTATTCCTCTCTCTTCCGATAAGCATACCTCAAACCCAATTCTCAGAATGGGATAAGTATATATCTAGATTTGTCTGGGAAGGCAAGCGGCCAAGGGTACGATACACTACTTTACAGCTTACTAAGGAGAAAGGAGGAATGTCGCTTCCTAATTTAAAAGAATATTTTCGTGCTGCAGATACGCCAGATAACATATTGGTGTAGTGATGATTACAGGGCTCGCTGGAAGGATGTGGAGCTCTCCACACTCAATGTCCCAATTCAAACAAACATGGGTATGAAAAAGACCCCTGAATACGTAACTAAAGACCAAGATAGGAACCCGATAATATCCTTTACATTAAATGTATGGTATGATACAGTAAGAGAGTTCAGGATTGGCAAAGAGCTTGGTTTGCTAAAATGGATAGCCTTCGATGAAGAATTTAGACCAGGAAAATGGGATCTTGGTTTTAAAAATTGGAATGAAAAGGGAATCACAGCATTTTGTTTATTAATCAAAAAAGGAGAAATTAAAAGTTTTGAAGAATTAAAACGGGAATACAACTTAAAAAACAAGGATTTTTTCAGATACTTACAGGTGAGAGATTACTTTAATAAAAACATAAAAATAGAGGAAGACAAAATCCATCCTATTATAAAAATAATTATACTGGCATATAAAAGTGTTATTCCAAAAACAGTGTCTACAAATGTTTGATGGAATCAAGACAGGAATCAGCTGTATATGTTAAAGTAAAATGGGAAAGAGAGCTGAGTGAAGAAATCACTGAGGTGTGGTATGAAACATGGAAAGAACATAAGAACACAACTCACTCATTGAGGTGGAGAGAATTCATCTGGAAAAATCAAATTCGCTACTTTATTACACCTCAGATTAAAAATAAACAAACCAATACACAACAACAATGTTGGAGGCTGTGTGGATGGGATGAACCAGACCACACACACATTTTCTGGAAATGCAGAAAAATTCACACTTTCTGGGTTAAAATTCACTCAGCTCTCTGTGATATATTAGGTTATATTATTCCTAGAACCTGCCTTGTTTTGTATCTAGGGTACTTGGAAGGTACTGTAGATGTAAAGGATCGTTACCTGGCTAAGATTCTCCTTTTGGCAGCAAAGAAGGCCATCACCAAAAACTGGCTTAAGACAGAAACACCAGGAAAGCAGCAGTGGGTAGCAATTGTGGAGGACATTATGGAGATGGAGAACCTTACATATAAACTGAAAGTAAAGGAAGAACGCTTTTTGAAGGACTGGGGAAAATGGTTGACGTACAACGGAAGGGGAAAAAAGACTGAACTGAATGAAGATGAGCATACAAGAAGAAAAAAAAAAGTGAAATGAACGATGGAAATGTTTGACACCACAGGCATGTTTCCTTTTTTTTCCTTTTGTTTTCCTTTATCTTATTTTTCTAATTATTATTCTATATGTATCTATATTTTTATACATATATATTTGTTTGTTTCTTTTTCTTTCTAATTTCACTGTCTTGAGTTTGTGACTCTCTTTGTATTCTGTTATTCTGAAGAAACTGTATGTGTATTAGACAGGTGGGTTGTTTAAATAAATAAAATAAAAAGTTAAAAAAAAAAAACACGAGCAGGAATCCAAAGAGAGAAATACTCAGTTTGGATGGGAGGAAGTGGGAGGGGCTAAGTGGTCATGACTTCCTGTATTTGGATTTACTTATAGTAAATCAACAAGTTGATTAACAGACAGTTTTTATGTTTTTAATCAACATATTTTTAATGTTAAATATAATTATTATTTCTGATCTCTCGGCTCTGCAGATGTGAAATAAAAACACACTCGAACAACAACGTGACCAAAAACTTTTAATGTTTTTATCTAAACACAGACGGCGGCCCACACCTGAACCCCTGTGAGGTCTACGTCAAACACCAGCCCTGTGAGGTCCAGCTCACTTAAACCAGACCAGGCCCACCTCCACGCTGCTGACGCCTTCCCGAAGTTGCTGAAACTTTTGCAGGTGCAGAGTTTCCCCTGCATCCGTCTGCTGCTGATTTATTTCTGTATCTGCACATCATGTTCTTGCACATTTAAAAATAAGAAGCCAAAAGCTGAATTTGCCGGCTCCTCTCAGAATATCATTGTCACAATAATGATGGAAACACAAATCACTGAAAGTGACTCATTCTCATGTGCTGCAGAGGCCGTCACGTCTCAACGCGGCGAGGTCTTTCTGTGTCCGCCCGGCGAGCACCGCGACGTTAATAAATACGGAACAAACCGGAAAACATCCGAAGGATGTGCAGACGGCGCTCGGTTCGGTCTGATGGATTTATTATCCGAGGCAGGGATGATAAAGACGCTCTGATGTGCTCTGTAGTCCGAGCAGCTGCCGAGGTCCAAACGGCCGAGGAGGTGTGTGGGAAATTAAAAGTGACACGAGTGAATGTTTCAGCCTCGAGAGGAGCCGCAAAGCTACTGCTGTGTGTGTGTGTGTGTGCGTGTGTGTGTGTGTGTGTGTGTGCGCAGCATCAAAGACAGTGACGTCTTTATTGAAGTCAACGTGTTTCCCCTCACAGTGAAATCTCACAGCTACGGGGATGTGACGAAGCTGCTTAACAGCTCTGAGGTATAGAAATACATTTATGTGTGTGTGTGTGTGTGTGTGTGTGTGTGTGCGTGTGCGTGTGTGTGTGTGTGTGTGTGTGTGTGTCAGAATCGGCCCTGCACGCCCAGCTCGCTCTCGGCAGCTTGTTCGATTTGCTGGTGGACACGTTGGACCTCCTGCTGGGTCAGAGTTCGCTCCATGTGGCGGTAGATGATGCGGTAACAATGACTCCGCCTCCCGGTCCTGAAAGAGGCACACACACACACACACACACACACACACACACACACACACACACACACACACATACAGTGAGGTTTCAGGTAACAGAGTGTATGTGAGTATGTTCAACACCGTGCTCGACAGCGAGTTTCCGACTCTTTCGTCATGTTTCCTGTGAGCTGTGTGGATTTCTGGGATGTTTTCCCACCTTTCCCACTTTCCTGCTTTAACAGTGGATTTCCGGGTCGCTCCAATCAAACGGATCAATCTGAGCAATCGCTGTTATTATTAACTGTGCTGCAGTTATCTGTGCACGAGCGAGCAGACCGACGGTGTTTCTGTGCCGTTAATCTGCACGGCTAAACACAGACTGTATCCAAAGGATGGAGGCTTCGACCGAAAGTGCGGAGCCTCTAATCGAGCTTCATGGCAGACGGCGGCGGCTCGTTAGTCACCCCCAAATCACCCGTTTTACTGTTTGACTGTAATGAAGCCATAAAACTGAGCATCATGTTTTATTCAGACCTGACAGTAAAACCGACACCATGAAGCCAGCAGTCCAAACTTGTTGGATCTTATTGGATGTCAATCGATGCCGAGGAGCAACAGTCTGACTGTGTTTGTAGGGAGAATTTGATTGGTTAAGAAAACAGGAAGAAAAACATGCAGGAAACAGGAAGTTACATCAGAAGACAAACCAGCAGTGCTGTGTTCTCATGCCAGCTTCATCCATCTTTACAATCACCTCCTCCTCTGCTGCTCCGCCTCCCACTACTCTGATTACATTTAAATGTTGGTCATCTTTATGACATCATCATTTTATCATCCGCAGCGAAACAGCGCTGTGATTCACCGTGAACCCCAGAGACCCACGGCAGGTGTGAACAAGGCCACAGACAGCTGTGAGTCACATGACATTAAATCACTAAACCCAACACTCTCTCTCTCCATTCAAGCTCTGTGTCGCTCGCCCGCTCTCGCTCTGCGGCTCGTGAATAATTGATCATCGATACGTTTGGAGGAAATGTCAGAGAGAAGAGACACAATTACACATTATATTTGTGTACACACACACACACACACACACACACACACACTGAATGGTATTTCATGTGATAGACTGTGTCGCTGCTGAATAATTGATGTCTCCATTATCCAGTCACAGAGTGGAGAGAGAGGGAGGGCGATCGATACAGTGACACCTGGACACACACACACACACACACACACACAGCAGTGTGATAGATATGCGTGTAGTTTGCTGTCACACGTGTGGAAACAGACACAAAAACACAGATTTATGACAGAATATAGAAAACGTGAGTCCTGCAGAGACGGTTTACAGTCAGGGCTGAAGGTTCACACGGACTCGTGAGGCTCAGGCGCTGCTGTCCTTAAAACAAACACCAGTGGGAGTTGCAATGCAACTTAACAAAGATGAACTCTGTTTGGGACTAAACGTGTCAGCGTCAGGATTTCATGTGCTGCAAATGTTACATGAAGACACGGCAAGAGACAGCAGCAGCTCCGTGGAGAGCAGAGTTTAGATATCTGCGAGAACTCCTGCTACGCTAGACTCAGCACCTGGACCCACTCAGCACCTGGACCCACTCAGCACCCCCGCCACAGAGCAGGGAAACACCTCAGAGGCAAAACACTGACGTGCAGCTCTTTGCAGATGATGGAGTTCTGTTCATTTAGTCACACAAGGGGACGTCATTGGACCCATTCTAATCATTTTCAGCACCATGGACCTCACTACAGTAGCTTTGCATGACTTACAGCTCAAAATAATCCTTCTTTACTTTCCACCGGGCCTTTGTTCAGTCACTTAGCTCATCCTCCTTTTAAACCCCCTTTACACCAACTGGCTGCCATAAACTGAACGTTTGAATCCAAGTGGGTGGGGCTTCTGCATTTGATATTGCCATTTAAAGGTCTCTGCTCTCTATGACATCATACAGATCCAAGAGTGGAGAAAACTGCATGAAACAGAGTGTTTATCAGATCAGTCTGCAGCCAGACTGCATGTGGTTCACTTGACCTCGTAATTTTAAACTTTGGTCACGTTTGCTGTGAGCACCTATAGATCCAGTTTGAAGGAACAAACGGCGACTCTTCCAAAACTCTTCACTGGGAGCAGCTGTCAGTCACAGCTATGAATTATAATCACACTGAGCTGCCCACAAAGTACTTCAGCCAGTGAAAATCTGAATCCTGCTCTAAAAACAAGCCTTTAAAATCACAGCCCCGAAACATACACATGGTGTGAAGATGTAGAGTTACCTGTTGGACTCGCAGGACTGTGGCTGAACCAATCAGTGTGAGCGAGAAGAAAAAGAGAAGCTATCCTGGAGCCCACAGGACGCCCTGCGTGAAGTCCTCCTCCGTCACATTTACAGACACACACACACATGTGTGATGTGGAGGATGGAAAAAGAAAATCTGAGCTGATCTGTTGTGTTTTAATTGGAGCATTGAGCTATTCATAGCATTTTAATTGCTGGAGGTGAAGCTCCTCCCACTCTGTGTTTGCCTTTCTTTCACATGAACGCACTCGTTCACACCACCACGCTTTCACCACGTTACCTTTTGAAACGCTCGTCTTCTCTCTATGCTAGTGAGTTTTCTTACTGTCAGATTTAATCATGTAGGCGTGTTCACGAACACATGTTACGCAGCTACACGCCTCACACGGCTGGATGCGCTCTTTGTTAACGTGTCCTCTGTAACTTTAAACAAACAGACTCTGGTTTGTGTCGACAGACTTAAACCCTCCTCGTGTTTGGAGAAGTACGCTCTAAATAAATAAGGTCAGAGAAATCTAAGCGATAACGAGGAGTGGAGACAGCGAGGCAGGCTCGTTAAAGGGGACCTACCATATTTCCTGTCGCATGCACATGCAGTTGCAATGCTGGATGCACACATTACACAAATAATGAGGTCAGTTTATGTGAAAGCAATCGCACTGAGCCAAAAGCTCTGCGCGCTGCTCGAAACACTCTCTCTACTCACAGAGAGACGACATCCCTGCTGTCTGAAGCTATCGCAGTGGCCCCGCCCACCTGCTGTGTAAACCTTTCATTTACGAGGGGCAGCCAATCAGAAAACAAGCTCTATCAAGGGGACTGTGGCCTTAAAAGGAGGAAGGGAGCTTCAGATCCAGAGGGAGAAATACTGATCATGTTCTCACTGAGTGTGGGAACAGAGAGCCAGGAAAGTGAAGGTCGCTGATTCAGCGAAATCAGGGCGGGGCAAACGCTCACAGAGGAGGAAGCAAAACAGAAGACAAGAAAACGGACTTTCAAATTAAAACAGGAAACAAACAAAACACCAGAGGCAGGAAATCAGACAGACGCTAGCAGCTACAGTCGCCTGGGCAGGTTAGTGGCCACGCCCCCTAAACTTAAGGCTTAGTAAACTTTAAATTAATGAGATATTAAATACTTTACGACCGTACAAATGTTATGATGGGGAGAAATTATCCACAGAGACCAAAACAGTTTTTGTATCAGGCTGTAAACAGTTTATTTCTGCTGTAAAGTCTTAACACGGGAGTCTGTGGACTCACTGCTGGAGCCCCTAGTGGACATTAGAGGAACTGCAGCTTCTTCTATCCTGGCTTTGAGGAGTCATTTTTCAAACTTGGAGGTTTTTGGTTTTCCTTCATGTCCCGTTAGAAACTTTCATTCAAGAAATGATTTGTAAGTCTCTACTTGTACTTTAAATGTTTTTAAATCCTCAAACTTTCTAATTATTTTCCAGGTTCACGTGATAATAAAGCAGATTTTCAGTAATGACCCCTGAAATCTGGTCGTAGTCTCAGGCTTGTTTACTTTCTCTTTGAACAGAAATGAGTGATTTCATTCAAAAGTCTGTAAAAGTGAAGTCATTGAATTGCAGCATTTGACAGTGGAGACCTTTAGCTTTCTTTAAAAAGAGGACGCTTCGTAGAAAAACACGTTTATATTCCACAAATGGAGGTGCGAGCACCGAAGAATGAAATCCAACAGTAACAAGCATCATCGGTGTGCCGTCTTGAACCTGCGTTGGAATTGTTTATTCATGCCAGCAGTAATGAGAAGAAGGAAAGTGGGAAGCCTGGGCGAGGTCAGAGGAGGACAGCAAACATGGCCGACGGCGTCACAGCCCAAACATTAAAAAAAGACAAAAACATGATCGATTTGATGTCAGGCTTCAGCAGATGGTGGGATGGAGGGAAAGAGAGATGGAGGAGAGGGACTGAACTTCAAAGAGGAGTGTAATGTTTCACTGGGGGGAGGGCGAGAGACACCGGAAGTGAGTGAGAAACAGAGAGAGAGAGTGGATGATGATGGACACGCTTGAAAGTGGAGAGCTGGGTTTCATTCAGATGGAGAGAAAAACGAAGGGAAGCAGTGGGGAGGGCGAGCGAGATGGAGATAAACAGAGAGAGAGGGATCAATAGATGGAGGGGGGTGGAGATGAGAGGAAACCGAAGCCGCTGCCAACGCCCTTGAAAGCACCGTGCTGCCTTCACAGAGACACGGGAAAACCAGGAGATCTGACACTGTAAAAACCTCCAAGGAGGGAGGAGGGGTGATGAAGAGAGGAATTAAGGAAAGAAGGGAGAAAGGAGGGACGGCTCTCCCCTTCCTCCCACACTCCCCCCTCTCTTTAATCCTGCTCATCCCTCGGTTTGATGCAGATCTGCGTTTGTATCTTCAACACTTTTTTGTTTCTACCGTGAAGAGAAACAAACCCTCCGAGGTTTATCCGCCCTCCTCAAACAGATCCCACTTTGTTCGTCTCTTCTTTAAATAAAGTGAATGTGTGTAAATACAAGCAGACCTGAGAACAGATGCCCTGCAGGAAGACGGCTGCAGCGTTTATGTAACATCATTGTGTCTGATGGATATTCGAGCCTCAGACCGTCTGCTAATTACACAGATTCTTGAGCGCTGCGAGAGCGATCGCTAAAACCTCTCGCGCTGACACTTAATTTGTTGTCGCGTTCAAATGTGGGGCTTAATGTGCCACCC